CTCCAAAGACACTGCTTTTGATACATTTCTTCAAGTTGGGGCTCAGATATTTAATGATGGTAAAGTAAATTGGGGACGAATAGTGACTCTTTTCTACTTTGGCTACAAGCTAGCATTACAAGTCATCAACCAAATACCACTCATCAAAATGATTATTGGGTGGGTGTGTGAATTTATCAAGGACCGCTTGGCCAAGTGGATTTTTGAACAAGGAGGATGGGTGAGTCTTGTTTTGTTTTTGGTTTTTTTAATCCAATATGAATGTCTACTATATGAAAAATGTTTGTATGGTTTTCACTCAGCATTTACCAGTTTTGTGAGATTATCAACAAGCAAGGAAAGTTTGTAATCCAGTGAGGCATTTATTCTTTAATTTAATACACAGCCATCATCTAATGTTTGTAGAGTTTATTAAAAAAAAAACTCTACAGGCATCTTGTGCACATTGTCATGTCAGAGAATATTGCTTATAGAATTGTCATGTACCCAGCTGTTGTTACTGATGTCTTGGAATTGAAACTATTTGAAAATAGCAGTATAGCAGAAAATGCTGTTCCAAAATGGCAAAACAATACATAAACCCTGCTGACTCCCAGAAGTGATTAACATGTTATGTCTTCTCAATATCTGTACATTGTCCAGCAAACCAGCAATGAGAATACTCAAACTTATCAGGAAGACATTATCTTGATCTAAAATGAAATTCTCATAACTAATTTACAGGGAAATGTGTAGCAGTTAGAGGGGAGGATTAGCAATTAGATCTGGGGAGTTAAAAGGGTTAAATCTTTATAAATCTTGCATAACTTTAATTTGTGAAATTTTAGTTCTCCCACTCAAAACTAATGTAAAGCTCCTTTTTTTCTCCACACCTGTTTCAAGTACTGTATCTTTTGTGCTCTTATCAAAAAGCTCTTTCCTTTTTGCAGGAATCTGTGGTTGATTACTTCAAGGCTTTGAGAAAGAAGCATGATGTTCAGGTTTACTTTGTCTTCAGCTGTATCTGTGCTCTTGGCTTTTACCTGCTATATCGTAAACAGTAGTCAATCATCAATGAGGAAGGTCTCAGACAATAAAATGATATTGCTGTTTAGCCTTTGCAACAAATTTCACGTTGTGAATGTGAAATATTTTGTAACTTACATTGCTTTAAGGTTTGAGAGACAGTTAAGAAAGTACCTGCTGGCATACCCCATACTTTTAATGATTTATTTTTAAACACTAATGGTGCGTGCCATAGGATCTTATAATCACAAGACCAATGATGATTGTAATATTATTATAACCAAAATTATAAATTAAATGTTAATTACTAGTATAGCTTCATTAGCTGATATGATTCCATAAGGACGACTGATTGTTGAGAAAATTACAGTAATTTTACTTGCAAGCAGAATAATGGCACTGGTGATTGTATCTTTCTTTGACCCTTTCACTCTCAGCAGTGACTAAGACATAATTTCTCCTTACAGCATGAATGCAATTCAAGCAAACAAGTAATGAGAATTGCAAAAAATAGTAACTGGTGGATTATCATTTGCTCCGACACCAAATTCTTAAAAGAAACTTAATACAAAACATATTGCCTGCAGCAGACAGTAAGGTGAATTTTTAACAAGATATTGAGAGTGAAAGAGTTAAATGAATACTCAGAAATGTCAGTCAGTGTCTTTGTGGCCACAACAAAGAAATTCTTGAGTAGTGTATGAAACTTACCCTTGCCAAGAACATTTTCTGATGTAGCCATACTGCACCAATCATAATCCTCCATTCATTAACAAAATTGTGGGATGTGTTGTCAAGGGCTACCTGCTATATACACAAATTCTCTCCAACCCCCTTTCCATCTTTTTGTATTTTTACTGTCATCGCTCTTATTGTAATGCTTGCTGTAAGGGCCACTATTGTTGCCATTACTATGTAAATAGAAATGAAATTTTGTCATATTTGTTTAATCATTGATTAATATAGCAGTTGACAGAAGAGGATGTCACAAAATGGATAGTATTGGTTAACCCCAGTTCAGCAAGAAGTATGTTATTACAACACTCAGGATGAAAGCAAAAAGGGCAGCTTAACTTGTGTACATTTAAGAGTGAACCTGCTCAGCAAGTTTTATTCTTATTTCAGAGTTATTATTCCTAATTAAAAGCAAGTTAAGATAGAGGTTGTTCAGTTTCTTTTGTCTTTTTGGGTTTGAGAACATTTTCTGTTTGATTTCTAATACAATGGGTGGCCACTGATGATATCATGTTGCATTTGATTAACCCCTTACTGGAGGAGTGGTGTAGTATGCTGGGACTCGGCTTTAGTTAAATGACTGAAAAAGATACCTACACAAAAGCTTATGAGTGTGGATGCTCCACTTTGCTGTAGGATGTGCATGGAAAAAAACCCTCAAGTAGCGAGAACACCCATTTGAATACACTTCCCAAGTATTTACATGGACAATTTAGTCATTTTCAAATTATTTTTTGTGATTGAAGTGCCAATCAACCCAATGACTACTGCACCAGCTCACCTGACTCCAACAAGCAACAGGTTATGTTACCCTGCTCTGTCTGTATCTTTCTTAAAGGTAGCTTTTACATCCAAGTTAGGCAAGGGAAAAACTTTCTGAGATGTTAAATATAAACCATGTCAGTGAAGACTATTTTACACTCGAGGGGGGGGGGGGG